GGTGCCCTAACCACTGAGCTACAGGTGCCAAGCAGGAGTATGTTCTTAGGATCGATGGTACACATGGTGATTGTATTCAATATGAGGTCAGACAAGTTCATGAACTCATCCCAGAAACACACTACATCCCTGGTGGCTGAATATCACTATGGTCACCTTGAAAGACTCCCCCTGGGAAGCTACGTACTCACCTCAGTGCCTGGTCCATCCTTCAAAGCAATTTTGGAACTTTGTCTGGAAAGGCCATAAGAGCTGTCATGTCATGTCTGACAATTAAGTTTGCAAACTTATCCTAGAAAGTATTTTAACTTGCTTAGAATCAAAATAGCTAGGATGTAGCAGCATAAACACTTTATCCTAGGCTGATTCCTATGTTTACACTCTGAACAAAATTGTTGTGAATTATAATCAGGGAGAACTCAGAACAGTGCCTGTACCTGTTTAACACTGTTGAGATGTTTGACTATGAGAATGACAACTTTAGGTCTGCACAAGGAATGATAGTGACATGGAGACCTGGCATTTAAAGTGACCATTACTTTGCGCAAGGAGACAAGGTCAGAGACACATAGTAGGTGGTGGTAGTGTGGTCCACTGCTGTAGAATGTGTCATCCCAAGCACAGCGGCTTCAAACAATACACATTTAACACCAGTTTCTGTAGGTCAGGAAACTGGATGTGTTCTCCTAGAAACTCTTACCGGATTGCAGAAAAGACACAGGCTGGGCTGTGGTCCTATTGGTAAAGCAGGACTGGGCATGGCTCTGCCTCCAAGTTCATGTGGCTGTTGGACAGCAAGGACAATCCTTGCTGGCTGACAGGCCATGGGTAGTGCCCAGCTCTTCTGTGAGGCATCTCCGATGAGCAGTTCAGGGTACGACATCTTCTAAGCTAGATTTGGGGGGTGGAGGAATCCAGTAAGATGGTGCTATCATATTATGCAATGTAACCCCCTGATCACATACATCCCATCACTTTGCCCTGTTTGGTTGGAAGGAGGTCATAGGTCCCATCTACATCCAAGGACAGGAGATCATACCACATGAAACCCAAGCAGATGGGGATCCCTCAGCCACCATCTTTGGAGTCTCCTGAGTTTACGAAAAGGCTAGGCATGGTGGCTCACACCTGTAATCCCAGCACTCTGGGAGGCCAAGGCAGGAGGATCCCTTGAGCTCAGGAGTTGGAGACCAGCCTGAGCAAGATGCCATCTCTATAAATAATAGAAGAACTAGCTGGGCATGGTAGTAGGTGCCAGTAGTCCCAGATACTCAGGAGGCTGGGGCAAGAGGATCTGTTGAGCCCAGGAGTTTGAGGTTGCTCTGAGCTAGGATGCTACAGCACTGTATCCAAGGTGACAGTGAGACTGTCTCAGAAAATTACAGGAAGGCACAGGCGGGGGCTGATAGAAACTAGAAAGTGTAATAAAGAACCAAAACTAGAGCCAGACAATTCTTTTGTCCAATAAAGCCTTGCAGTCTTCCTGGACTCCTTAAATTGTGCTGTGAAATGCTCAAGGAGACAAAGAGACTAAACACAACTTAGCCACATTGGTCTTTTGTTCCTCTTCACTGGCTCAGTCAAGCTGGAAGCATCATCTTTGTGGTTTTCCCCTCTTCAGTACAGATTGGTTGACAAGAGACTTCCACTTATCTTGTTAGCAGTGGGAGTCTAAACTGTTCAGCGGGACATTTTGTCATGAGATGTCCCCATGTGTTCATGAATGTGTTTGCCTTTGGAGCAGGGCAGATGACATGTTGCCTTTTTTCCCATATTGCCTTTCCCCCCAACCGAAGGAACAGCACTCTTTTGAAATGGGATATGGCTTGTTACTACTGCCCCTGGGTAAAAGATTGAGACAACTAAAGTGTGAACTTGATTTCTAGGTCTGAAACGTAATGTGGCCTTGCGTTGACACATGCCTCTAAACAATGAGGATTAAACACGCAGGATGGAATCTCTTCTGTTTCTTCCTAGGATTAGAAATGTCACCCCTGATAGCGCTTACCGGGATTTCTGTCTGGCTTTCGTTGGTAAGAAGACTTTGACGCACCTGACCCTGGAGGGCCACGTCCAGTGGGATGACATGCTGCTGCTGCTGCTGGGTGAG